TGACGTGGTGGTGGTGAGACGTGGAAGTCGGGGGGCCTGTGGCGTGCGGTGCTGTTCCCCGTAAACCACCGCACTTGGGGCTGTCGCGGTATTACGTTCGTTTTGTGACGCCGCGCGTGTCAGGGTATTACTGCTGTACAGCGTTATTTCCAAGTGGTTGGGCTCGCTGGGCATATTAACAGCAGCAACTGGTTTTGAACTTACAAAACCTGTTTGAATCGACCAAAAGGTGCCTTTGGTGTGGACCAAAAAAGTACAACTGGATCCCCCCCCTTCATATCAAGTGATATGCTTAATATAGAACTGCTTGGAACATATAGGCTTCTATAACGTCACTCTCTGAAACGCATAAGCAAAACAGGGGAAGCTGTGTTTTGGCTTTCATTTGCACACAGCGGAAACCTCCTGCTGTCATGCTGAGGGATGCTTCTGCGGGGAGAGCTTCGTAAAACCCTTCCCTTTCTTAAAGCTTGGCAGAAGCGTTCATTTTCACATACCAGACAAAAGTACTGAGATTTTGACTGGAAGGCCTTAATCAAATTAGAACTTACTTAAAGTGGAAAAACATCGAATACCACCTGTGATGGTGGAAACTTGCTGCTCAGTTGGGGCCTAGCTATGAAAATGCTTAAACTCTATAGGAACCACAGTTCGTGATCTTAACAGTTTTCTGGACACGTGGAAACTCTCTCCTGTAGGAGCACAGGACTGGCTTTGTCCCGGCAGAGCAGGGCTGCTCGGCCGTCAGGTCACCAAGAGCCACGCTCAGCATCCAGAAACGCGGTGCTCCTTTTAGAGTCGTGGTAGGGTTCTCGTCCAGGTAGAGATTCTTGGAGCACACCTAAAATAGCGGAAGCCCTTCTTTCAACTGCGGTAATGGCAGCGTGTGCCTTCGTGCTGTAAGTTAGGGACTAAACCAGATGCCGGGGCTTGCTCTTTTCCTTCTCTTTCCCATACCTGCACTCGGGGAGGTTCAAACAGAACTCCTGTGCCTCCCCTGAAGACTGCGTTGTAATCACGGGGTTGGTTCCGAGAATCTGAGAAGGTCCGTTTTCCATTGCTAGCATTTGAACTAAGTCTCTTCTTATCCCTGTACGCCTGTCTCCTGTTATCGGGAGCAATCATGTCATATGTCTGTCTGTCTCTCCTCCCCTTTTTTCCCTCTTCTTGTCTTCACCTCCCTGGACCGGTTCCTCGTATTTGCTCTTGTTCTAAGATGTCCTTATTTGGTCTCCGCCCTGTTCTTTATTCCTCTCCTCCAGACCACCTGTAAAGTGGGTTTCCTTTAGTCTCCTTGCACACCTGACAAGGTCAGAGTTGGCTGTGTCTGACATTGGAGACCTTACCTTCCATAATGGAACTCATGCACCTGTGGAAGTATTAACTTGGAATGGTTTAGTATTTACTTATTTTCCTGATGTATCACGCGGGATAGCAGTCTGTCAGCAATGCTTGGAAAATGATTCATCTCCTAATCCTTTCCAGTTTGGTAGCGCTTATGGCAAAACCACAATTTGAACTACTGAATCTTCTCTCATTTCTGTTGTCTGAGGGCTGCCTGTAAGAGATTTGGGCTCCCATCTTTCAACTGCTGAAACTCTGCTTACTGTACAGAGAAAAAATTGAAGACATAATCTGTCTTTGTCAAGGAAGCTTTCACGTACCGATCTTCAGGTGAAGAGCTGAAGTAGACAGCTGAGAACTTACTTTTCAGCTCCAAGTGGGGCATCTGCCATCTGAGAAGCTGTACTTAATACACCCCATCTTTAGCTTTTTCTCTATGCAGCTCAGCATACCAGCCTTCAAAAACATTTTGAGGCGTGTATTCCAAGTACCTCGCTAGGGCTGTAGGGTCCTGGATATTTATTTTTTCCATTGCTGTTTTTGTTTTTGTTTGGAATTAACCTAAGTTCTTAACTACATCAGTCCCCATTTATCTTCAAGCATCTGCCCCACCTGTGATCAAGCATTGACTGGAAAAATAAGAGAGACGTCTGAACTGGTACAAGCTTTCTCAAAACCTAATACTGTCTATTCAAGATATTGATTGCAGATTTTTTTATTATGAAGGTGATTATAAGCATAGAATTTAACTGCTGAACTTTCTCCCAAATTGTAATAAAAATAGTTTCTATCTGCTAAAAAGTATTTTTTGAAATGGCATGTTGTAAGTGCAGTTAATAATAGTAAAAGTAATAGTGTTAATGAACTGCTGCTAAATTTATGATGAGCAGTTTTGTCGTTCCGTCTCTTAAAACTCCAGAAATGCCTTGGAATACAGCCCTCGAGTGATAACAGAATATAAATGAAAGTCAGCAGTTCTATATGGACATCGCTTGTTGGCCGAGGTGCAATCACTTTATAGGATTTTAAGAGTTTAGTGATTTGGGTTCTTTTAAAATGGAGCCAAATTTAATGCTCTGTAGTTCTCGGAGGAAAAACTTAATACTGTTCAAAACCACGTTCTACTTCTTTTGTGGTAAAGTAACATTTCTAGATCAGAAGTTTGCAGAAGATACTGAAATAGCACTTCTGAATCAAAAGTTTCAGAAGACGACTTAGTGTTCTAGCAGCAGATGCTACTCCCTTTGCAAATAAAGCTTTAGCAAAACAGGTTTTTCATGTAGTGTTTATATTCTGATGAAATTCCTTTTTTCCAAGTGAAAAATGAGTCTGTTGAACTTTCTGGCTGCTTCTCCTAATCGTGAATTGAGGTAGTGAGGTTACATCACCTGTTAGGATTGTCTGTAACTTCAATAATTACGAATGTATTTGTCTTTCTTGGTCTTGTATGTTTTGTAGTTCAAATGGAAACTGTAGCGTGTGGGTTTTTTGTTTTGTTTTTTAACCTTTCCAGCGTTATCCATGTTTGGAACAACGGTTGGTCTTTATGGGATACCCTGGTGTAAGAAATCCCTGCTGTTAACTGTCTTGATGTCAGTTATTGGAGCTTCCATGGGAATTCTAGACACAGGTAAGGGACCACGTGGTCCGATAGTTCCTTCACCGAACTAATTGGAAACCTCAAGCTCACCAAAACCGCTGCTGGTATTTCATTTGACGCGTCTTGAATTAAAAGAGGGGAGCTGTTTTACCTGGCTGGGATTCTTGGATTATTCTGGTCCTGAGACTTCCAGTGTTTGTGTCTCTGTAACGGACCTTCCTTAAGGGGCCTGGGGAGCTGGGTATCCCTTGCTTCCTGGAGAAGATCAATATGTATTTCAGTGGGCAATTACAGCTGTAAAGAAAGTGTCACATGCTCTTTAAACAGTGTTTTCTTTAAATTACTCAGGAATTTGCCCAGGAAGCTAGTTGGGTTACCGTTCGTTAGCGCCAGCTGAAACTAAGTTAGTCCTGGGCAAGCCCTGGTGTTTGAGAGGGAGATTCTCACAGTTGCTGTGTGGGAGAGTTGGCCGCCTAAACCTGGCCCGGTGGCGTCTGGGGAGTCACAGCAGACGTTTACTGCCATAGCTCGCTCGCTCACAGCACCATGTCATCCATCTCCCCGAATTAAGGAATGTTTGCTGCCCTTGGCCAGCCTCGCTTAGGTGTTTGGGAATGCCCCAAATTGGAAGTCTGTGGCATGTGCATACTGCAAACGGCCTGGAAAAAACACTTTTGCTGGAAACCTGTTGAAAACCAATTTCTTAGTAGAGGCTCCTTACTGGAGGAAGATGTACCGGTGAAGTTGCAGAGCAAACGTCTGCAGGTGCGGTTGGAAAGGTCGGTTATACCAGAGGTATGAAAAATGAATTCCCACAGAAATGAGTTCATTGGGCATGGCTTAGAAAGGGTGAGTTAGTGATGGCTGGCTGTAGCAGGCAGTTTGGATCAGGAGGCGAGGCCACGGCAAGAGACCTAAGCACGCTTAGAGATGAGTGGGTAACGCTGGCGTACTTGCAGATGGGGACCAGGAAACAACCAAAAGTACGTCAGCGGTGGAGTGTTCTGGCGTTGCTGTAGAAGGTGGTGGTGAAGCTGCAGCAGGCGGCCGCTCACCTGGCACCTCTCCAGTGATGTGCCAGCAGTGTGCTGACTTCCCTGGCTTACTGAGGGAGCCTGCGGTTACTTACTAGCCAGCAAGGTACGACTGGATCCGGTCGACCAGCTTTGGGGCAGGCTTATTTCTGAGTAAGAGCTGGCTAACGGATTAGCCTAGCTATCCAGACAGCTCTGGAAGCATCCCAGCCGGGGCCTGGTTTCGGTGGCTTGGCTGGTAGGCGACACAGAGGAGTGATGATGGCTGCACACGTGAACCATCTGCCCTAATTCTGCGGAGCGTGAGGGAGCTCTGTTAACACTGAAGAGGGCGAGATACAGGATCCAGTAGCGAAAAAGATGGTTTTGCATGACACAGGTTATGCTAAATAACCTGAGTGCAGAAGCGTATTTGTTGCCTCTGGCAGGATCGTTATACACGGCACTTGGTTTAAAAATTCTTTGTATGGGAAAATCCTGTCAGCTTACTGTAAAAATGCCTCCAGTGGGTGGGTGTGCTGCTTGGAAGTCAGACCTTTGAGGCAGGGAGGCTTCCCAACAGGAGAAACTAAGAGCAAGGCAGCAGCGTGTAACTGAATTAATTTGGAAGAGTGTTAGTGCTGCATGACAAGGGTTGCTGTACTGTAGCACAGGAATTTAGTTACTGTTCTTATTTTCCTGCGTTCTTCTCGGGGACTACCTAAAAATGGCTCTCTGAGGTCTTGTTTTCTAGTATTATTGTTGGTCTGAGGGCGTCGTAGTTTGGTCTCTGCAGCGGTATTATTGTAAACCTTTCTGCTTCTGGAAAGTCATTTGAACGCAGTTGGGGTAGTCCCAGCCCATCAGCAGTAAGCGATTCTTGTGCTGGGATGTTGTTCAACGGGGCCTCTGATTCTTAGCGTTGTGCGTTGTTGCTTTTACAACTTAGAGAAATGAGAAGCAGTTAAATTTGCTCTTTTGCAAAAAGGCTGAAAAATGCTGCAAATTGTCAAGTAAGGCAATTAAGTACAGCCATGGTTGCTGGATTAAGCCAGCGTGTGGCCCTTCATTTGGACTGCTGTGAATGCCTTCCTGAAGCTCGAGTAATCACGTGGGCTTAAGGTGCTTACAGGCAGAATTTCAGTTAACTTCCATTTTGCACGTTTTATTTGCTAAACCTGGTATTATTGCAAATTGAATTAATTAGGTTACAGTTTGGTGTGTCTTTTTTTTGTTTGTTTTGGTTTTTTTACCCAGTACCTGGTTTCAGACTAAAATGACCGAATCCTCCTCTCTCCGATCTGCAGGTGGCAACGTACTGGCACTGAATACCTGGGGGGCAGAGGCTGGGCCACATATGCAGGCCTTACACTTCAGTTTTGCTGTCGGTGCGTTTGTAGCTCCAATCCTGGCTAAAATGGCCCTGGGAGGCTCCGAATCTAAAGACCTTCCAGTAGCTGAAAAGACAAACCAGTCTGTCCCGCGGTCTGTGCCGACAGCACCGGCTGCATCAGCTGCGTCAGCACTGAAACACCATCTTGGTGCGGATTTTCTGTGGTCCTATGTTGTCATAGGGACCTATCTTCTGCTTGTTTCTCTCTTCTTTTTTATTTTGTATTCAAAGGGCAGCTCGGCTCGAGACAAATCAAAGGCTTCTTTGCAGAAACGCATGTTTGCCAAATACCACTATGCCCTTATTATTCTCCTGTTCATATTCTTCTTCTGCTACGTGGGGGCGGAGGTCACTTACGGCTCTTACATATTTACTTACGCAAAGGTCTTTGCCGAGATGAAAGAAAACGAAGCAGCCGCTTTGAATTCCGTCTTCTGGGGTGCGTTTGCCGCTTGCAGAGGCGTGGCAATATTCTGTGCTGCTTGCTTGTACCCTGGCACCATGATCCTGCTGAGTATCGTAGGCTCTGCTGTCTCCTCGTCGTGCTTGGCCTTCTTTGCGAGGTACCCAGCCTCGCTGTGGGTTGGAACCGCTGTGTATGGAGCGTCAATGGCCACCATCTTTCCCAGCGGCATTTCCTGGATAGAACAGTACACGGTCGTGCAAGGAAAATCGGCTTGTCTGTTCGTGATCGGCTCCGCGCGGGGGGAGAGGGGCATTCCCGGCGTGCCACGTTCCTGTGGTTATGTACACTGCCCTGGTGACTTCGGCAATGACAGTTCTTTTCTTCCCTCTGATGTACAAATTGGCCAACTCTCCCGGTGAGAGCCACTTGAAAGAAATGAGCGAGAGCGAGGACCGGAAAGCTTTGTTGTCAAACTCGGGGCTTAATGAGGATGAAGAGGAGGAGGAGGAGGAGGAGGATGCGGGAGAGTGGAACGAAGCAGACTTTGAGGTAATAGAGATGAACGACACGCTGAGAAACTCTGTGATAGAGACCTCCCGTAAGATACCCGGGGACTCTCCAGCCAAAGTCTCTCTCCAGCCCCATCTGGACGAGGTGTTGCGCGATTCTCCAGTGGTCGCTGGTGGCTCCCCTGGGAGAAAAAATGTGAATGTTGACCGGGAGAAGAATGATTGAAGTAAAAGCTGACTCTTTTTTTTAAAGGGAAATGCAATCGAATTGTAGCTGTTCTTGTAAAGTGGTTCGAGAAGCCTTTTATAGTGGCGCAGAGCTCAGCGTGTTCATTTCTGTGTTTGTCCGGCTCTTTCTCCTCTTTCATCTTCAGTCTGCAGCGATGTGTCTCGGAGTGGGGAAGTCCACTGCCATGTGGCTGGGGTAACGTGATAAAACGTACAGACTATACTGAAAATCTTAAAACACAAGAGGCGTTTTCTAAATGTGAGGTGTGCCTTTAAGTAATGTGTGCTGTAATAAGAACTATCGGGGAAAGAAGGGAACCGCTCAGACCACTCAGTTTTTTGGGGGTGGGTAGAGGGTGCAGTTCCGAGCTGCTCGGTCACAAGATGTTTTCATGAGAGAGGAGAGAAATCTGTTATCTGTGAGGCCGAGCTTTCTTTATCTCGTGAAAGGAAGAACGTTTCTACCCCATTGAAAGGTTGTGTGACGTAAACCAGGAAATCAAGTCAAATTTCAGGTGACACCCAGCGGCTGTAAATCGGATAGCCTGTTGGCAAGGGATATAATTTTCTGCTTCTGTCACTAAGATGAGAAAAAAATTTAAAAATTAATTTCCAGGAGTGGAACCATGCCTTTGGGTCACTTAAAAGCGGTGTATGGGAAGGGGGACCAAACGGGTCGTATTAATCTGCTATAATGCTTAACTCCGATTTCCTCGTTGAACAGTGGTGACAAATCTAAGTAGTCTAAAGTACTTGTGATTTTAATTACTGCGCTACCACTGAAATCAAGAAATGTATGAAGAAGGTGATAAAATTATATATAAACAGGTTACTTACTTAATATATGGTATTGACGTAGGGCTGTGATATTTTTAAGGCAGTTGTTTAAATTAAGGTTGTAACAACTTTTCTGGCTTCCTGTGCCGAGACTTCAGCATCGTGATGCGTTACAATGAAAATCTGAGAATGAGAGGGAATTACTGATGAGACAATCCTTTCAGGTTGTACTGTACGATCACTTGCCCCTGGCCAGTTGGATCGGTGCCATTTGGGTTTTGTTTCTTTTGGGTGCTGACTTACAGGCAGACTCTTCCTCGCGGAGCAGCAGTGGTTTGTAGGTTCATTGCTGCTAAGCAGGAAGACCTGGGAAGGACCAGTCATGCCAGCGAGCCCTCCCCGGTAAGAGGGGAAAAAAAGCAGCCGCTAATGGCAAAAACCTGACTCGGGAACAGTAGTCTTGCCATTTGTCTACTTGAAGCTCCAAATTTGTAGGTCGAGTATTTCTTTTAAGGCTGTGTGATCAGAATGTGCGCATGTTTGGGGTTTTTTACTTTGCACTGTTACGAGAATTTTCTTGCCGAGAAGTTTAATTTACTAACAGAAGAGCTCTAGATGTAGCGTAGCGCGGAACCTTAAATGTTCAGTGTGTTTTCAGGTCTGTTTTTGTTCCCCCTCTCGTCCTCTGACTGTGCAGCCTAGAACCTCGTGGCTTTTTCCTTTCTTCTGAGAACTTAGTAAGAAGCGGGAATCAACTTGTAGTGAAAATGTGTGATTTTTTTTCATCTTGCCACGTCGAAGGGTCTCCCTCTCCCTCTGCTGTCAGCAGTTAAATGCCATTGTGTTTTTGCCCGATTCCTTTTTTTTCTTGTGCGTATACGCACTTCAGCGGCACCTTTTCCAGTGCAATGCATGAACCTGCACTTTAAAATACGGCCTTGTTTCACTTGCCGTTCTCTTTTTTGCTTAAGGTAATGGTAAATGCTTTTAAATCTCAGGCCAGAGCCTGTTCTAGGTACATGTGACAGCATTTGATCAACAGGAGTAAGACTGTATGGCCTTGCGTGTTTAGTTAGTTTCACACGGTAACAAACGAAGTGGTGCAGCAGAGGTGGTGCAGCAGATTGAGCCTGCCTGTCTTCAACTGTCCCTCTCCCCTTTTTCCTCCTGCACGCTACAGCAGCTGCTGTGCGTCTGTGGAAAGTAGGGGCGTTTGTTAGCTGATGGTAAGGACAAGTCCCGCTGGTG